GAGAGAGAGAGAGAGAGAGAGAGAGAGCAGCAGCAGCTTGTGTTAATTATAACTATTTATTACAGATTGTCTTTTAATCTCGTCTGTTACACTACAACGTTCGTAAAACAAAAAACTGTGACAGACAGTCATGACATTGCTTTGCATTTTAATCCAAGACTCAGAGAAAACCTCATTGTACGAAATACATATCAAAATGGTCAGTGGGGAGATGAGGAAAGAAATGGAGGAAGTCCATTGAAAGCAGGCTGTGACTTTACATTGTACATCGTTTGCGAAGAACGCGGTTATAAAATTCATATTAATGATAGCGAATATACTTTTTATAGTCATCGAATACCTCCCACCAGTATTACACATTTACGTATCAAGGGATTAATGACTTTATGTAGTCTCACATATAAATCTACATCTGTAAGTGAAATATTCTATTATTGAAGTGGTTTTTTCTTTATTTTATAATGTTGACTACTTGGTAATTATAATGTGTGCGTGCGTGCATGCATACATACGCATTTTACTGTTATATATTTTACATAGGTAATTATTGAACCCATTACAATGTTTTGGAGACAAATTGGTGGGCATTTGAAAAAAGTTGAGACGTGTTCCGTGGGTGTTACTTGGGGCATTGGTTACGACAGTACTGCTTGGGTATATACAGGTGGTTGGGGAGGCGCGTTTCTCAAAGGTACTTGATATCGATTTTTATAATTAATAATAAATGATAGGTTTTGTACAAAAGACAAAAGAAGGAAAGAGAATGAGTACTCTCTAAATTTCTCGGGGTGAGATTTTACCACAAGAAATTAAGAAAGTACAATTATTGAAGATTTTGGGCACGATAATATTTAGATCGAATTAATGTATCTATAATTCAGTGCAAATTGTTAATGTGAAAAGAATTACATAGGCTTAGGAACCAGCAATACCGGAGTAAATACGATGGTAGATACCCATAATTATTATGTATATGAAAATCAACGTTGGAATCCAGTAACTGGATATACTGCACATGGACTTCCAACAGATCGGTATATGTGGAGCGACGCAACTGGACGGCATAAATGTACGCGAGAACATACAAAATTATTGTCAATGCATTGGCATTGGGTAAGTGAATGAGAAAAGAATCTTTTCGAAAATAAATTGAAACTCTGAATTCGCTAGAGTTTTGTGATGTAAAATAATTAAAAAATAGTGTTTACTATTACGACATATTTTTTGAATTGGGATAAATGTATTTTTATATTTTGAAGGTATCAGATTGGATAGTCGACTTTCACACACCCGGTGGTGTTGACAGAGATGGATGGCAATACGCTACTGATTTCCCATCGCAATATCACGGTAAGAAACAATTTACTGATTACGTTCGAAGAAGACGATGGTTTAGAAGATGTCAACTAACGACCAGCGGACCTTGGCAAGAATTGGGAAATACTAAACTCGTTGATGTCTCTTTATATGTATGTTTTATATTTTTACCATTATCATCTTTACACATTTCGGAAGGAATATATTTTGTTAATTCTCTGTTAATTATAATAGGCAACTGGAAAACCTGGCACGGATGATCCTATTCATGTTTGGGCGGTTGCTGCAAATGGTGAAGCTTTGTTCAGACGAGGTGTCTCAGAATCTTGTCCAATGGTACAACTATTTAAATTGTTTTTAACTTTTTTTTATATACAATACTGTATGTATACATATATATATATATATATGTATATATAATATGCATGCGTGTGCATAAAATTGTTTATTGATTACGCATATAAGAGTATATAAGATAATTTCTAATGAGCAAAGTACTTAACCATTAAGTTATATAGCGATACTTTTGACCTGTTTGACATGTTTCACATATTAAATAGGGAGTAACATGGGAACATATACCAAGCGATCAGCCTTTAATTAGCATATCGTGCGGTCCATGTGGACAAGTCTGGGCTATTGGAAAGAACGGTTCCTCCTGTTGGAGGCTAGGCATTAGTGCTACAAAACCAACTGGTATAAAATTAAAAAATTATCACGGCATACATGTATATAATAACTATAATTACTACAGCACCTCTATTACACCTAATAGATAAGAATTTAAGGTATTTAATCAAAAACTTTAAGATAATCGATATTTTGTCAAAAATTTAGGTATACAATGGCAAAATGTCGAGCCTCCTTCAGGCGCTCAGTTGAAACAAATTTCAGTAGGACATGATGTTGTGTGGGCCTTAGATATGATTGGTCGACTGTCAGTACGCCGAGAAGTACAATCCAATGTTTTCCCCGAGGGAACTCATTGGCAGACATTACCTGCTATGCCAAACGATCCTATTCATATAGGTATCGAATAGCTACACTCTTCCCTTCCATCTCTTCTATTTCATTGTATGATATGTTAATACATTCGTAGATATGTCGGTCGCAAATGCTAAGCAAGGATTCCGACATGTATCCGTTTCGAGGGAGCAAGGACAAATTTGGGCAATTTCAGGAGCTGGTATTATTTGTCGAAGAATTGGTGTTACACATGAAAATCCAGCTGGAACCGGATGGGTAACCGGTATAGGGGTAAGTAGCGAAAACAAGTTTCAACGAGCTGAAAATTGATTTAAAAAGTACAGAAAATACGGTCTAATGATTACATAAAACTATAACAAAAAAGAATAACAATTAAAATTAGAATTTTTTTCTAATAACTCGCTAATTGCTATACAATTGGTAAATATAGATAAATAACTATAATACTCTTTTTTTAATACCTAGTGACAAAAGTAGTATCACTTTTCATACTTGAAATGATTGCATCATTGGAGCGCAATATTAATCTAGAGAAAAGCGCAAAATTTTTATTTTAATACTGTCTCATAAGTTACATGATATTAAAATTATTAAATAAGAAAAATAAAATTTTGATTTTTTCCTAACAGGCAAACTGGCAAAACGTAAGTCTTGGAGGACTTGTAAATAAGACAAAATAATCTTTATTACGTATATTAAAATACTGCATTATATAAATAAATACGTATATTAAAAGCTACAATATTAAATAATTAATAACTTTATGATTACACCTTGTAAAGTGTACTATCGCATGCGTACGCATGTATATGAACACAGAAGTATCCATGCCAATACAATGTTGTTAATTTGTAGTCAATAATCATAATAGTATAGGGCAAATTACTTGACATCATCACATTAAAAACTTCTTCCTCAATATGACGGATATTAAAGAAGTATTGAAACGAGAAAGTGAGAGTGAGAGAGAGAGAGAGAGAGAGAGAGAGAGAGAGTTAAATAGTTTATAAAATAAGATATATAAAAGAATATACATGTATATCATTTAAATTACTTCTTGAGTTACAATTTACATCAGAATATACTTGTACGATAAAATAATAATGTCATTATGTAAATATTTTGTTATTTTTTTTAGTAGTTAGAATATGTGACAGATAAACGAATAAATGTATCTGTGACTAGCAAAATAGCCTAAAAAATGCTTACAGATATATAATAAAATTAAAAAAATATTTTTCTGTGATTGTGTAAACATTCCAATGAGCGTAACAATATTTGTTAAATGATACTTAAGAGCTACTTTTACCAATTTTATGAACCAAGAAACTGACATAAATTCGTATCTGGAGACACGGTAGTGTCTCGGTGCTAAGACGTGGCATGAGACACTGCCGTGCTCCTTATAATCACAGCGCTCAATGTTACTAATAAAATGTTACGACAATACTTATTAATTTTATTTTTTCTTACAGCCAATATATATTTCGTTAAATTTTGTACAAATAAAATGTAAAACGTTTTAGTAAAATGAGACTGTAAGAGAGTCATCTCAACTATAGTATGTACATACATACATTGCCACTGTAATGAAGACATCATTGTGTACCTTAAAGTATTAATTTTGTTTACTATTTTATTATAATGTAAGGAGCGCAAGCTATTTTTATTTTATAAGACAAATATCACAATAAACTCGCTTTTGTTATGTAGCACCGTTATTATTATTATCATTGTCATCGTGATTATCGGTACGTCGATACTTATTAGTGCAAATATATGTGTTAGGTGTAATTGAAAAATTTTGTAAAAGAATAATGTTCAATTATAGTAATTATACTCTTGCTAGAAAAGAATTAAATTCAAAATTAATAAAAAAGATAACTGAGAAAGACGACTGTATTTATATTTGTTGAATTTTATCTCTATGTTGATTTATATTAAAGCCATATGCGCGCGCACGTGTATATTGTATTATTAAAATTAAAATTTACTATAAAATTATTAAAATTTGAAAAATACTTTTCCTAATTAGGTATTAGAATTAGATAGCATTAGATACTTTCCATCGATCTGTTGGTCGTACTACAAAATGGTTTTTTTTTTGTTTTTGCTGTTCTTCACGTTACGAATAAAAGGTATGTTAAAGTGAAACATTGTAATGGACATTTCTCTTTTTGTTATATAAAAAAAACGATTTTATCAAAATGATGTTATTATCCTAAATTTTTCTACATATTTTTGTTGTAACTTTTCGTTTTCAGCCTTATCTCTTTTCCCTTGCTCACTATGGACAATTCCGTAAAATCCATAAATGCAGAAGCCTAAAAATAAAAAATTGAGATGTAATATTTGATTTAAGCCTTTAGATTAGTTTTAGTCATCTTTGAATCGCATAGTACATTTTTTCATGCCTTTTAATTTTACTACAGGACTTACCAATCAACAACCAAGTGGCGAATCTGATCCATGTAAAGATGTCTAGTTGTAACATTAAATATGTGTTTATAAAAATACTGAGACACGGAATAAGTGGAACGAGGGGTACCTACAGCAAGACATCATAGAAATATGTTAAACTGATATATCAGACTTTTCGCAACGTCGCACGTCCCTATGTTATTGTATGTTATTATAGAATGTGGAGCAATCGAGCTTTTTACAATTAGTGTACAATTAGTGTTGCGCGCACATTCCTTTACCTTGAAAGACAATTCAGTCCTCTGCACCGGCTGTCTACCAATCGCTGCTAAATTCAAGAAAAGAACAATCGCAAGTACACTTAGTGTCACAGATATCACCATATTTCCTGCGAGCAAGTGCGCGCCCATGTTACTGATCAGAAACGTGATAATACATATAACGATACCTGAAACGATTAAACTTTGCAGATCGGAGGAATTACTTGGCATGTCTTTTATATATATATATAAACATATTGCATTTATAGTAAATATATAAATATTTTAATTTGCATAACTCACAGAGGAAGGCAATGCCAACATTTGCAATTTTGTTAGAAAGTTCCGTTGGTTCTTTCCGATTTTGCAAATTGAACAATTCCTTAAATATATTTATAGGTGTAAGTTGGATGTAATTGCTCGTTGGTAATATCACAGAAACGTTAGAATTTTCTTCTTTTTGATATCTATAAAAATGTATACTCCCTACTAATTTTGATTAATTTCACTTGATATGATTTATAAATATTTACAACTCTCGATCTCGATCAATCATCAAATGTTACCTTAATATCAAAACGCATATCGCTACTATCGTGTACGCAAGTAGAGTCCCGATAGACATCATATCGATCAATTGTTGCAGATTGAAGATGAGTGTCATGAGACCTAAAATGCAGAATATAATATCAACGTTATATGAAAATAATTAAATGTCGATAAGTTGTTAGACATTTATAGGTATATGTATGTACGCATTGCACGCCTCGATTATCCGGTTCTGATCCAATTGCTTCTATAATTGCTGCTATAAACGCATGCACCCCCCGAGACTCTGCATGGTACTATTATATTTATATACATACATACCGATAAGTAAACCAGAGAGCACTGTGCCGTAAATAGGCGTCATTGTTTTGGGATGCACCGTGGAGAGAGTCTTGAATATTATACCATCGCTAGCCATGGCGTACAATACGCGCGGTAAAGGAAACATAGCGCCCAAGAGACTGGTGCAGAGCGCGAATATCGCGCCTATGTTGACGATCCATTTGACGACGGGCCAGCCGATCTCGTCGAACGCGTGTGGAAACGGCGCGTCCGCACTCTAAAGTGACGAATATTCTCATTTGAATTCTTGAAACACCAGATCTACAGGCTAAGAAAACCTCGAATCCCAACGAGTAGTTGATCGAAAATGTTAAATTGCTTTCGCAATAGTTGTTACTATATCTTACACTATATCTTTATAGAATATAGAGAATGGTTATTATAGGTATATATAAGTAATATGATGTAGACTTAAATTTATTATATTCACCTGAGCATAATAAGGCAGCATCATCGTTAGGACTATGGAGATACCAAAGTACGCTATGAATATAACAATGAGGGATAACACGACCGCAAGAGGAATATGACGTTGAGGATTCTTGGCTTCCTCGCCGGTAGTAGCGACCGCGTCAAATCCCACGAATCCGTAAAAACACTTGGCCGCTCCGGCCATCACTCCACTGATGCCAAACGGCATAAATCCACCAGTTCCTCCATTCTTCACAGAATCTGGAATATCCTCGGGTGCGATTGACCAGTTTGATGGATCCGCTAGAAGCATATATTCGGTTAGAAACATATATAATCCGTTAGAAGCTCTATATATATATATAAAAGGAACAAAAAAAGAGACTATTTACAGGGATTGAGGAACCTTACCTTTATTGCACCTTTACATGTATTTAATTTTTTTAAATTATAACTTTACGCGATTTTCGCACCGCAAACTCGAATTAATTATCAAATTATAATCTGTTTTAACAATATAAGCTCGATGCTTCAATGTACAATAATAATGCTAAGGCATTTAAACGCTCACTGCAAAGCGTTGAAAAGTTCTTCAGATTTGTGGCCACAATTTGGAATGAATTTAATGAATCGTTCTTTGGAATCTCCTTCTTTGGTAACTATAGTGTAAAATAAATGTCAGTTGGTCGACACGAGATATATTAGGAGTTGAATCAGCGCTTATTGAATAATATTTTGCCTCTTTTACTTTATTTATAATTTTTGTTAATAGCGCTCTCCTGACATAACTTGAATAAATTCATCAAAAATTGTCGATGAAAGATAAGATATATAGATCCCTTACCTTTATTTCCATGTACTTTTATACACTCAAATAGAAACGGATCGAATTCAGCAATAAGCTCTAAAAGCATCTATATAATTGCCGTTCCGAAGAGAACCAAAAAGCATTCATTAGAACCCCTGAATGGTAGACTACGAGATGTTAATGATTTAATGACTGATACTATACGTTTTTTAAAACGTACGTTTCGCCAATATTCTATTTCTTTTTCTATTTTATATGGTTAAGGGGATGCTAAATCGATTACCGAACTCGATCAAGGTCGATAGTACAGATTTTTTAAATTCCAAATTCGATAATAGTGGTGACATCTTTGATTCAGTTTTTACATTATATTATATAATATATATCATTCTGTCTTACTCAACGCACACATCTGTTCTTATCTAACATATGCCAGCAACCTCTATCGCAAGACCGCGCAACTGCTACATAGGAATTTCGGCTCTGTTGACAGTCCCAGTCTTCCCAAAGCACCTGTATGCACGTATTTTCTATTCGGTGACGATACTTTTTTTTTCTAGACTTTCAATCTTAGCTCTACAATCTCGACATCGTTCGTTTCAATAATGTTACCTCAGCTGCACGCTTATTTTCATGATATGGACTCTAAAACTCTTATATCAAGCAAATATATATCTGAGGTGGTACAGCTGTACGAGCCAAAAGTGAATTTTTAACGAATTAAAAATTTTTTTTCTCATGTGAGATCCAGCTGAGGTCCGTTTGTGCATACTTTAATTTATGTAATAATACTTTTGCAATCCGTACATCCAATACGGAGATTTTTCACCGAATGGAAATGTGGGTAAAACAATAGGCTTTAGCATCGCCTTAAAGGATTTACTTCTTTTTTTGATGTACTTCGATCCAATATTTTTATAAAAATGTTTATAAACATTTTTATAAAAAATTGGTTACCTTCTTTTAAAAAAAATGCCGCCCCCCTAAACTTGCCGCCCCTACAGGCAATAGCCTAGGTTAGCCTCTAATGCTAATATGGCACTGTATATATATATATATATATATATATATACACACATATATAGCTTCAACTTTTACATGCTAACAATAATTAAGCTAACAATTTAAATTTTTTAATTAAGACGAGAGATTTACACATCTTTATAGTTTTTTAAGGACACACACCGCGCGCGCACATATTATACATATGTGTATATATTTGAAATAACATATGCCATCTTTTTACGAGTCGTATTCGAGACTATAATACGAGTAGGTATATATATGTATAATGATCGGTATGCGTGGCGCGGCTCAACTTCAAACTTGTATATTTTAGACTTTTAGAGGGTGCGTGCAAACTCTACATCGAGCCACGAGCATTTCGGCTATCTTTCATTGTTTTTTGCCGAGTCGCGTAACAATTAAATAAATGTTTACCGAAATGTGTGCTCGCGACTCGAGGTTCGGCTCGATAATTTGGACGCATATTCTATAAGGGTGCGTATAATAATAATAATATTGCTGCTTACCTTTCATCGATCCTGCGACGATGACGATCGTGATAGTTATCAAGTTCACAACGGTAAAGATGTTGTTTAAGATGGACGATTCCTTCACACCGATGCATAATAGCACCACTAGTAACATGACCATCGCGAAAGCGAAAAAGTCAGGATACTCTGATAAGAAAGAAACATCGATAGGCATAAGAGAGCGTAGAGCATTTCCCATGACATTTCCTATTAACGCGTCGATATAACTGCTAAGACCTCGAGCAACGCTCGCTGTGCCTATAAAATCATTTTAAAACGTCGTTTTACTTATATATGTATATGTATGTAGATAATTAGATATATATATACATATTATCGTTACGCCGCACGTCGTTACGCTGTCATTAATATCTGACTAGCCTTTCTCGCCGCGCATTCCGCGTGAGTCGATTTTTCGCCAATCATATATTTCTCACCAATTACATACTCCAGAATTAAGTTCCATCCTATGATGAAGGCGATGAACTCGCCTACCGTTATGTAACTATAAACGTACGCTGATCCGGCTTTTGGCACTCTCGACGCAAATTCCGCGTAACACAAGCCTACAAATATATAAGTGTACTATATTATAACTTATATATATATAGAGGGAAGGCTCCGATTGCACACATTGCATGTTGCACACATGCGTCGCTAATTGGCCAATTAAAAAATAAAATATTCTCATTGGTAAAGCAGTGAAAAATTACTAGGCACCAGCTGATACGAGTGGTGTGTGCAATCGGGATCCTCCCTTATATAACTACAACATACCCAAGTAGCACAGCACAAAGCGCTGCGTGCACTACTTGAGTACTAATATATAACATAATATTATAATATACATAATATAATATATATACATATATGTATATAAATAAACAAATTATTTCATCGGTATTCCATATTACATCCCATTTTCTCACTTTCGACTTTTTTGTTAGTATTGATAATTGGACTTAAATATCTTGGCGACTTTCATTTATTGGATGTTGCAGCTAACATATTCCTCACAAGAGTTCTGTGTAAATTTAAAGTCTTCATATGCATTTATATCGGAGCAATGTTAATTTAAAAAAGCTATTCCATAATCCCTGCTTTTATATATATAGAGTATAATGTAGACGAGTACATGTATAAATGATTGTGTGTGCAATCGATTTGGTTTAACTTACCCGCGAAAGCAGACGCGATAGCGGCTATGAGGAAAGAGACGGAAACGGCAGGTCCAGCCGTCTCTTTGGCGACGCTACCGGCAAGGACGTAGACGCCCAAGCCGAGAGTCGCACCCACGCCGAGTGCAGTCAGATCGAATAAACCGAGGACCCGTGCCAATCGTTCGCCCTTCGTATCTTCATTCTCCAGCTCTACACGCCGCCGCGACAACGCTTTCCACAAACGACTCGTCATATCGCACTGATCCGCGCGCGGGCTCTTCTTTCTCTGCTCAACTCTGCTGCAGCGTTACACTAAAGCTAAAATGTAAAGCGGGAATGTCGTCAGTTATGTCGCGTGTACTATATATCATTCGTAAATCAAATCAGACGTTATTTACGAAACATTATTTACAAAGATTATTCGGCATATACCGCGCTAATTAATTAATAACCAGCTTTTTAAGATTAATCCAGACCGTTCAGACAGCTCGAGATATCGCTCTCTGCGCGGTAACTGTTTGTCGATATTGTAGTCTACAATTTAACATAAAGATTTCTACATGTATAATGCACGTACGTTATCAAAAGGTTTAGAGCGTAGCTCTAGTACAAAAGCAATTATAAAATAATAATTATAAGGGGCCGCCGGGGCCTCTTCATCAGCTTTTTATAAATTTATTAGCGCGCGTACGTATATATATATATACATACTCGTATGTATACAGGGTATTACGCCAAACTTTTTGACACATTGCTTGTGGACAGATACACAGCGGATTAAACTGCAGAATAGATTCAGTATAGTCCTCTACCATTTTACAATTTTCGCAATTATTTGTTTTAGCTACCTATCTAATGAGCAGAATGTCCAAAATCAACGTATAAAAGATTTATACTTTAAGATATATATATATATTTCTTTAAGAATATTCTTCAAGAAATATCATTTTATATTTCATAAAAAATTCTGAAAGATATATCTTGAAGTTATCTAATGCGTCGACTACGTCCGCTTCACTTCTTTAGAATTTCTTTAGAAATTAATACCTCGTTAACTATCATAAAAATTGTAAAAATAATGGTAGAGGACGTTTCAACTTGTTAATTTAGTTCGGTCTATTTACCCGCACAAGCGGTACTGTATATCAACAAGTTTTTGGACACCCTGGTATACATATACATTCATATTAAGATGATTTTTATTTTTAAAAGTTATTACACGAGGATAATTTTTTCTAATATCGTTCTATGGTATTATAAAATTTCGGGTCAATCAAATAATATTAACATATATATTTATAAGTATAACATGGGGAGGGGAGGGGGGATGAAAGTATTTTACAATTAATTGTTGCATTTATTGTTATCATAATGTTTCAACTATCGAATAAGCAATATCTCGTTTACTGCACTAATAAATCTTTTTATACAAAAATTTTAGGACAATATTATAAGATGACATTAAAACATCCCAGTCAGAAATGACAATGGAATCGACGTCGATTCCATCATCATTTCTGATCGGGATGCTGCGTTTGAACGGAATTTCTCTCATCTGTATTTTACCCATATATTGCACAACCGCATATTGTACAACCGCATTGCAGACAATATTCGAAATCACAGATTGAAATCATTAATAATAACTGTTTTTGTTTATTGTATTCTTTTTGTCCATTATATTCTTCGTTGAGAATTTTTTGCAATATTTCTGAATGATCTGAATGAAAAATAAAAAATTACAACATGAGAGCGCGCGCGGTACGAGATTAATTTAGAAAAAATAATGTAATTGTTTAATTTTGAAGAAAGAAAAAAATCGAAAAAAGAAGATCGAAAAAAATCAAAACTAAGAAACAGATATTTTTGCGTACAGTTATATCTATCCGTGTGATAAAATCCGTGTGTATACAGCGGCAATGTTTTGTTTACTATCCAATATCATTCCACATATGTCACATGGACAGATGACTTTTTTTAACCAACGCTTATATTTGTCAAACTTTAAACGTTTATACTTAAAAAACTACTTTACGGAAAAAAATGTCTTACACTTTAATTACTTAATTTTTTACGAAATTTCGCGCTGTATTATTGGATCTGTGAATTTTTTTTCAAAATTACATAAAATTTGTTGACGAAATCTTGTTCCATAAAATTTTAAATTGATATTTTTTGCAATATTTTTGTCTTTGAAACGCTACAATTTGATGAAATATCATCGGACAAAATTTAATATAAAAATACATTACGCGGTACGTATGTACCCCTACAATACAAAGGTTGCAGCAATATTGCAGCGTTATTGCAGCGATATTACTGCAAGTGCTTCTGTGCTGTATGGGTAGGCGTTTTAAGCTTTAAAATGCTTTTTAAAAAAAATTGATATGATCATTTTTCAGATATCGAATTTTTATGTAAAATGTTTGTTGTGTGGAAACTTTCTTTAATATCGACGGTCGGAGTTTTTTAAAAAATTTTGAAAAAAATTATACGAATCAAGCGCATTGTAACAAACATTTTTCTTCTTTTGTCTATTTTTCCTGTAAGTTTTTTAGTTTCGAAGTTAAAAAACATTTTGGGAAAAGCATTTTCTCAGGGAATATATTGATGACATATGTATAATATATATGTGTGTTCATATCGAAAGAACCAAAAACGATTTATAAGAAAAGTATAAATAAAGAATTATTTATCACTGCTTTCCATCTCTCGGCCATTATTTACTACACAAGAACTCGAATAATGTCAATCCAAATAATAATTATTCCTTGTTAAGTTTCCTAAAAACCGTTGTTCGATCAAACGAAAGGTCACATACAATATTCCTTAAAACACTAAAGATATAATTCCATTAAATATAAATTGTTACTTGATTTGAAATTAAATATAATTTGGACAGAAATATTAAAAAATAGTTATATCTTATATTTAACAAAAATTTCAAAGTCCCTTTAACACTTATAGAGATGCAACTTTCTACTCCCCATGTTCTTTAAATTCTGATTTTTGATAATTGTATTATTTTATTTCACACATATCAATATTTTGCGCTGTATCGTGTGATTCAGGGAAACTGACATTCTCCCAGTAAGAATTCTTGCAAAATCTTGCAAAAGCATGTTCACCGCAAAATGGCAACTGTGCAATGGTAAAATCTCAAAAGAGAGGATAAGATTAGAAAAGAATAGCCAAAGATAATAGAGTTTGAAAAAGAACATTAGTTTTTCGTTTTCAATATTTTATGCAATAACGCGAGTTTCCATTTATTAGAACTTCGATTATATTGTCGACTATTTGATATATATACATATAATAATAAATTTAACACAATTATATAGGATTTGCCATTAATCGACAGTTTAGTCAAAAAGAGGAACATGAAATAAACTTAGAGAAGGTAGGTAATTTAATTGAGAGATATTTTTCAATTTTTATACGTGGAAATAACAAAGCCGCGCAAATTCTGTTCGATTAAATGTTGCCGTCGCGATGTATTATCGTACATACGTACGACTGCTCGCAACCTTGGTGCCACTTTCACTCCGTTCACTTATTTCCCCGTACAATCGTTCCATTCGATCTTTACCCAAGATTTTGAGCATATTAGCACAAAGCTTAATTAATATGAAAAATAGAAACATAAAACATAAAAAAGAACAAAAGAACATCATATATTTATCTCTTTATAATCAATTATTACGCTGAAATTGCATTTTGAAATCAATATTACAAAATTTTTATGATTTAAAATATTCAAACTTATATTTTCTGAAAAACTTTTATACAGTGTCATTATGTTGTCGCAAAAGAACAATTATTATTATCGTGTGTTTTCAAAAGGCAATACGACATCCTTTCTACAACACGTGAAAAGGATCATATCTTTTAATATCCACGAGTGCTGCAAAATGTAATCTTAGTCATTATATGACCGTCGTCATTATCAGTTTTCATGCTCAAATATTCGGATTGTAAAAACGCTTGGTAAAAGATTGTAAATAATTATTAAGAATTCTTAATTCTACGTCATAAAACATGTACCACTGGTAACTACGAGTAGACGATAAAAGAATACAGAATATGGAAATAATTTAATAAATCTATAATGGGGTAAAAAATGATAACAAAAACGGAATGATTGACAACTTTTCAAATGTTTTATATGTAACAAGTTTTATGTATACAAGCACACTACATTCTTAATTATGTTTCTAAATATCGCACCGTTATTTGTATCGTTTTCATTGTAGATGGGGAATCACACCGAACTCTAAAGGGTTTCATACATGAAATGCATAACATAAGACCTGCTGGACCAATGAGCATCTAGCATAATGTCGCCATATTGATTTACATAAGATGCTCATTGGTTTAGCGGCCTTATGTTATGCATTTCATGTGTGAAGCCCTTAACGCTTAGTCTCGCGAATGGTAATTTTAAGACAACGCTACAGCAGACTTGCAGTTATTCTTTGACTGCAAAATTATGTTACATTTTTTATTGAAGCTCGATAACTCACGGTCGATAATCATACAAAATTATAAAATCAAATAACGCACAAGGCTTTTGCTTTTACGCTCATGTATATACACACGCGCGCGCGCATACACGCACATCAGCGTGC